TATATATATATATATATGTACATGTACGTGCGTGCATGCGTGCGTGCGTGCGTGCGTGCGTGCGTGCGTGCGTGCGTGTGTGCGTGTGTGTGTATTATGTATATGTATTTATAGCAAGCTTTGATTTGAACATTTAATAACTATATTTAAAAAATTACAATTTATTATATTGACTAATATTATACAATATTCTCTTATACTATACTGATTTTTTAAAATTTCTCTTGCCATTTAAAGATTTTTTATTTTTTATAAATTCTTGAAAAGTTAGAGATATTCTTTTAATATAAAAATAGTAAGTATTTGTATACAGTATACGTAATATAAAAAAATTGAAGGATTTGAATTATTTTGCATTTTAACAAAAATGACTTTTTCAAAGTGTTATCAATGCCAAAAAACTCATTATTCACGTGGGTACGATCTATTTAAAGGAAACAGGTGCTTATCAAACGGAGAGTGTGATATGGCACAATGGTTTCGACAACGTCAGACTTAATCACGACGTCGGTCTCTGATTCAATAAAGACATTATCTACACCGACGTGTTATTGATAAAATATGTTTTACCAAATTCCCTGGTTATTATCGAAAATCCAGTTTTGTCACAGATTTAAATCAGTCAATTCGAGAAGTTTTTTCAGACAGTTATTCTATTATGTTATTAATTTATATAAAATAATGTATTAAATCCATCTCAAATGAACTCTAACAATATGTACATTAAAATAGAAGTTGATTTTTAGACGAATGAGAAGTAACTATGAATATGAATAAATATGAGAGTTAATTCTCGTTCGTCTAACAATCAACTTCTATTATAAGTAAAATAGCGCATTAAAGAAAGTTCTCGAAAGTATGAAATTCTTTGCAAAAAGTCACACAGTTCATATATAAATAATATACATGACACTACATAATCCGTGTATATGAAAAACGTGTGTATCAATGAAATGCGATTTAAATTTTGAATATATTATTTAAAAAATGTTACAATTATTAACTTACAAAGTGAAATAGTACGTATGATATGTTTATAATAAATACATTTTGTATTTATGTTAAAACTAGTCCACTCAAATCCTTGTCAAAATTTTGTATTAAATTTTTAACATATACGAATGTTTTTAACAAATGTTTATGTTATTTTGTTATGTTGTACTTATATATATATATTATAAATTAATATTTAATTTTATATTTCTTAATATCAAAATAACATAATTTATGAGTATATAAAGAAACATGAAAATAATATATATTAAAACGTGAATTTTAAAATAAATGAATAAAATATATATTGATTTAACATATTATTATATAAATGTTAATTTTATGGAAAATGTGCTTCCACAGTTTGCTTATACAAGAGTCGTTTGGAAAGTTTTGAGCCTCAATATGAAGATGGCATTACTCGTCAAAACCATTCTGGTACTACAATAGTACATGCTTTGAAAGATACCTGTGAAAATTGTAGACATTGTAGACGCTCAGTTATTGTTTGACAGTCATTTGTGCCAGTCGATGTCAGTAATTTTGTAAAAATTGAAAAAATCGAATATACATTTCCAAGACTTTATTGGGGCGGTTTAAGTGAAATGAGCCGGATTTTTTGCATCGATTAATAACTGTTGATGAAACTTGGATCCACTACTTCACTCCTGAGACGAAGGAACAATCAAAGCAGTGGATTACATCCGTAGAAGCCTATTTTGCAGAGTAAGACACCAACTATTATTTGAATGGGTTAAAGAGATTGAAGTATCACTGGGGAAAGTGTATCTACTTAAAAGGAGACTAGGACATATATGTATATGTTAAAAAATAAAACTGAATTTGATCGAAAAAATACTTGTTTTTATGTTAAGTTCAAAACTTTTCAAACGACTCTCGTAATTTGTGCTAAAGTTACATTTTTTTTTAAATTTCTTTACATAATAATTGTGTTACTTTCTAATACTTTCTCATATTCAGCTTGATACTCACACAGCAGATATGTCCAAAATAGATCATAGATATTTTAAAAATATATTTGGAATATGTGATATCTTTAGGATATCTATCTAATGTATTTCGAACATTTCTGCTGTATGTATTAAATTAACATAGAAATTTGAATTGACCGTTTGGAACGAAATATCTTAAATTTAACACACATTTTTCCAATTGTAAGTATTTATATAAATTTCGAATATTCTAAAGCGGCACATTTTACTAACCATTTATATCTCACAACTTATTTGTTGGCTTTAATAAAGGATTTTCTGATAATTTTATTAATTTACGAAATTGCAGCAATATGAAGGAGATATACGAGATTCCATATTGTATTATTAATACATTGCGTAAATCTATAACACAGTTGAAGGTTTTATGTCGCAATTTCTAAATCATTATACCGATTGCTAACGTACTCTATATAGATAAAGATTTCGAAATAAATTTTATCGCGAAAGATAGAGATCTTCGCAGATACAATTCGATAACATATTTAATCGCTTAATATAAGTCGATAATTATCAAAATCATTTCAAGAGAGTTCATGATTAAATCTATCAGATTAAACAGATTAATTCGTTCTTTGCGTTACATACATATACATTCCAAAGTATATATATTATCTTGATGACTGGTGAAGTGCTCAAAATGACCTATATAAACGTATGAAGAAGATTCATTATTATCAGTACTATGCATACTTTCAATATGTATACGTTCTTTACTTTGATATTCGCTTATTTAGCGGTAACCGCTCATGGTAAGCAAAATAAATACGATTAATTCTTTTTATTCAAATCAGTTTTCTTTAATTTACGAACTGTCAATTAAAATGATAAAATTTGAATCTTTGATATTTTCGATTATTAAAGTAAAACTACAAAATTTATACATTACTTTATAAAAAATCTATTATTGTTTTTTAATTGATATCATTTAAATAAAATTATTAATTATATTTTCACACGGAGATATCAAAAATAGACTAGAATGATTTTGAAATAATAATTGCTAAACAATATTTCTAATATTTATTAACATTTTCATAATGATTCAATAAACAAATAAATTGTTTACATTTTTCAGACATTAATATTAAAAAATGTAGTATGTACATTGTATGTTAATCGTTTATGGACAGAATGGCCTATTATAATATTTGCAATTATTTATTAAAAGTTAAAAAACATTTTATCATAAATCTGATTTATATTCTGTTTACATTCTGTTTCATTGTACATCTTACAGGCTTTCCAAGCACTCACATTGTTGGTGGAAAGGACGCGCCAGTTGACAAGTTCCCATACCAAGTATCTCTGAAAAAATCCGGACGTCATTCCTGCGGTGGATCCATCATCAATCAATATACCATTCTCACTGCCGCTCATTGCATAATAGGGTACATATTTTATTCTTGTTTTATTATTATTCATACATGCACCTACGAATAGGATATAATTATACACAAAAAAATCATAAAAATGAAAAGTTCAGGCCATGTTCAAAAAAAGATCATCAAAAATTTAAACCTTTAAAAATTTAAATGATTATCTAAAATAATATATTACCATGAAACGTAACTGATATATTATTAAAATAAAGGTTAAAATAAAAGTTCAAAATGAACATACATAAAGTGTATATTATCTAAATTTAATAATATATATATATATTACCATGAAAAATAATTGATATGTTGTTCAAGGTGCAAGTTCAAAATGAAAATACATACATATAAGTAAAACAGATTATATAATTTGATTCTAGAAAATAAGTGCGATATGTTATTCTTAGTGCACAAAATATAAAAATCGTTTATTGAGATTTGATTTGAAATTTAAATTAGCCCGTACAATGAAAAATAATTGCTTGTAATTCCAGAGTACCAATTTGTTAATGACTCGGAAAAAGAACATGGCGGCCTGCTCTCAAAAAACTCTTTGATGAGTTTTTCGGTATCCATTTAGAAATAATTACGAAGCTTTTAAAAAGTAATTGTTATAACACTTGAAGTACAAAAAGTATTATATTAGAATCGTATATTCAAAAATTCTATAACGAAGTGAATCTGGAGATACGGTAGTGTCTCGGCGCGAAGCTAAGCGCAGCGACACTGCCGTGCCTCCTTTACGCGAGCCGTCGAGTTGTGGCAGATTGAGATTATCGAATCTCAATAACGGCTGAAGTTCTATATACGCTTAATCGATAGCCACCACTTAGATTGTATAATAAAAGTGCTTTTATTTTTTTCCTACGTGCCCTACAAGCGGAGATAT